CCTGGTTACCCCCCCCCACCCCTTCCCCCCGGGAGGAGCCCCTGGCTGAAGTCTTTCTTCTTCTTCTTCTCGATCGCCTCACACTTAAAGTCTGGTATCTGTCAGGTGGTTGTTGTTGTTGTTGTTATCTATCCAGCAACAGCCGGGCTTTCGCCCTTCTGTCCAATGCCATGTAGCGATAAGTGCAGGTTTGCTGCTGTTGCTGTAATGTTCCATAGAGTGTGTTGTCAATGTTGGGTCTCGGAGGGACAAGGGTAGTTCTGATGTCATTTATGGGCTGTGCAGTGGAATATCTGTCATAAATTGAGCCGTCCTGCTCACTGACTGAAGTGTCTTTAGGCCATTCCCAAAAAGGGGACATTTCTCGTTCATGCGCAGTAGAATTGTAAATGGGCTGATCGAACAATGTCATGCTCATAACTGTGCCTGAACTACAACAGAGAACTGCTGCTTTTTCTTTCCTAATCCTTACTATCGTCATTTTCCTCTACTTCTTTTTTATGTTTGTCACACTCTTGTGACCCGCTATTTCCGAGGTGCATTGATAGTCGAAGTTGACTTTGTGCTCCTGAAGCTAGAGAGGTGAGCAGAGTAATTCGAATTCTCTGTGAGGACTTCTTTGTTGACATCCACCCCTTGGCGCTCATATGACCTTATGTAGTTGCGAGCTCCGTAAAGCCTCTACTAAAACTAAACAAGTTCCCTGGTGTTCTTGATCCAGATTGATTCATGACGTTGAGACACCACACCTGCTGTCATTTTTTGATCGAATCGTGACGATAAGGTCATAAAGTAATATTATAAAAAGACAACATCCATCCATCCATCTATTTATCTATCCTTCCATCCATCCATCTATTCATCTATCCATCCATCCTTCCATCCATCCATCCCTCCCTCCCACTACCCATCCCTCCCTCCATCAATCCATCCGTCCATTCCTGCCTCCACCAATTCCTCCCCCCTCTCTCCACCCATTCATCCCTCCCTCCACGCATCCCTCCCTCCATCTATCCATCCATCCATCCCTCCCTCCATCCATCCGTCCATTCCTCCCTCCACCAATTCCTCCCTCCCTCCCTCCCTCCACCCATCCATCCCTCCCTCCACGCATCCCTCCCTCCATCCATTAATCCATCCATCCATCCATCCCTCCCTCCATCCATCCATCCGTCCATTCCTCCCTCCACCAATTCCTCCCTCCCTCCCTCCACCCATCCATCCCTCCCTCCACGCATCCCTCCCTCCATCCATTAATCCATCCATCCATCCCTCCCTCCCTCCATCCATCCATCCGTCCATTCCTCCCTCCACCAATTCCTCCCTCCCTCC